AGGTTTGGGGGTTTATCATTTTATAATGTTGAAGGCTGACTAAAAAAAAAAAATCAAAGGCTGGGGCCAACAGGTAGGGCACTTGCCCTGCAGGTGGCCAACCAGGGTTCGATTCCCAGCATTCCATATGGTCCCCAGAGCCTGCCAGCAATAATTCCTGAGTTCAGAGCCTGGAGTAACCCCTGACCACCACCAGATGTGGCCCCAAAACCTAAAACACATAAACAAAAAGGATGGGACCAGAGAGAGAGTACAGCAGGTAACGTGTTTGCCTTGCATGTGGCTGATCCAGGTTCAATCTCCCCAGCACCCCATGTGGTCCCCTGCCAGGAGTCATCCCTGAGCACAGCCCCATGTGGCCAAGAAGCAAACGAAACAGAATAACAAAGACAGAGGGCTTGTCTCCCCCACTCACTGGGCAAGTCACAAACTCCTCCCAGGAGGCCTGGCCCACGGGCATCCTCTGAAGAAAGAGCAGCAGCCGGAAACACCAGCCTCACAGCAGCTCCGAAGGCCAGAGCGGCACAGACCCCACTGACCTTTCTTTCAACCTTGGCCAGGGTTCAGCCTCGCGCCCCCATGCTGCCCTCCACATAGAGTGGACAGTCATTGGAGTTCAGTCACTGTCCATAGCTGGCCTGACCATCTGGACACAGCTGCTCTCCACGTCACTCCTGCTCAGCTACTGATTCTGTCTCCTTGGGTGGAATCCAAACCCTTCTCTGTAGACCAAGGTCCTGCCGCCATTTGGAAACCGCAGACTGAACAGGGAGAGAAAAAAGGACAGGACTTCCGGGGAGAGGACCCCATTCAGCCCCTTAAATCACTGTGGCCCAGGGGGAGCGTGAGGGCAATGCCCACTACCTTCTTCCTGGGCTTCCCACGGGCAAGTATGACAAGCAACGGCTTAGAGCAGACCTGGGCTGGACTTGATCATGAAAGGCGGAGACCATGCAGAACAGAACCCAGAAACCGGGGTTCAGCCCCACCTCAGCCATGTGGCTGTGGGCAACTGAGACTTCCTCTGAGACTCGGTTCCCTTATCTTTAAAAGGGGAGCATCACACATACTGTGGTGATCCATCAAATAAATTCATTGGATTTGGCTATTTTAGATTGGGGGGGCAGGGCATACCAAGCTGAGATCAGGGCTTACTCCTGCCTCTGAGCTCAGGGACGACTCCTGGTGGTTCTCGGGGAACTACACAGGATTCTGAGAATCCAACCCAGGGTCAGCATCATGCAAGGAAAGCACCCAATCCACCGTACTTTCATCCCCAGCCCCAACTTCACTATCTTAAATCAGTTAATGGACAGCTGTGTACGGCAGCATCGAACCCACAGCTTTACACGGGCATGACTTCAAAATTGCTGTTCTTTGCAAGGAACAGCTAGGTCCTGGTTTGTGATGCCGCTTTGGACATGCTGAGTTTTGAACCTTCACATCTGTTCTGCAGTTCCACCAAACCCACAGTGCACACGGCCACACAGGGCGCTTGGGGCTTGGAGTTCCCCACCCTTAGGGCTAGAGCACTATCTATTCTGGCAGGAGGGAAGTGGCTCCTGCCAGATCCTGACCAGCAGAGCGTCAGGCCCGCCCTCCTTTCCTCCCCCGCCCTCCCTCCCTCCTGGACTAGGTTGCAGTATCTACAGTAGCACCCAGGAGTGGGAGGGAATAGGGCAGTCATTTGAGGGGATCCATTGGCTGCCTTTGGAAACACCTGTCTGATGTGAGAAGGGCCAGAGGCCACAGCAGGGAACAGCGTCTGCTCCGCGCTCCCTTCCTGGGTCTCTGCACTGCATTTACTGACTCCATCTGCATCCCGGCCCTGAGCAGACTGCTCCAGTCTGGAGGAGGAGAAGAGCAAAAACGGGGAGGGGCAGGGCCCTGAAAGGTCGTTTCAGGGCTTGTTCAGAAGCATCTTTAGAAGCTTGGAAGTCTGGAACCAGTGGAAGGTTCAGACAAGCTGAAGCCGTCTATAAGGAGGGTGTGTTGGCTTTAGCAGAGGCAGGAGGGCTGTGTCTGATGCCCTAAGTGCAGACCCCACCACGAAGAAGGGCTCTGGGCCGGTGATCTGGGGTCTTCTTATTGGAAATTAACTCGCAAAGTGATATGCTGTCTCAAACCCCATAGCCCAACTTCTGGGAAGAAGGCAGACTCCACAGGGCAGCTGGGCGGGGGCAACCGTCTCCGCCTCTCTGTGAGTCTCAGCCCCATCGAAGAAGCTGACCAGGCAGCAGGGGGCTGCCTCTGACTCATTTCCACCTGCTTGGGGCGGGGGGGTGATCAGCAAAGGCAAAGTTCCTAAGGCAGCCCATACCCCACTATGGCCCCAGCCCACCTCTGCTGGACCCTGGGTGGGGTGCTGGTCGCTGTCTCTGGAGAGAAGAGTTTCTGCTTCTCCTTCTAGGCAGAGGCACTCAGGCTGGGGTGTGCATTGAGCTGACAGGCCCAGGGGGTCAAGATAAGGCCTGGAAGAGTGGGTGGGGTCTCTGCCTGGCATCGGAGGCTAGGGCTCAGCCCTATGCGGCAGCACCGCCAAGGAGAAGCGAGAGAGTGAGGGAGAGCGCCTCCTGCTGGGCAAGGAGGAGCAGCAGGGCCAGGGAGCAGCTCCAGATGGCAGGAGCTGGGAACCAGAGACGAGAAAAAGGCCGAGCCAAAGAGGACAGAGGAGCCTGGCTCTCAGGCTTCCAGACAAAGAATCCAACACAGATTCACACTTGGCAGTGTGAATTCACCCAAGGCTGGCCCAGAAACAACCATGGAACCTGTCTCCCCTGAAATTCTGCAGCCCTCAAACCCAAAGGGCCAGCTGGTGGCGTCCCGGGCTGGCACGCTGGGGCTGCAATTCAGGTCCCAGACCTTGCTTAGAGGTGGGCTCTGAGCACTTTCCCTGACTTTTCTGTCACAGGTAAAACGTGGGAAGCCGTGGGTCACTTCTTAGGGTCACTGACGGAGGGTCCTGAATAGAACAGAGCTCAGAGCCTCGTGCGCCAGCCAGCTCACATGACAGCCGGGAGGGAGGCTGGCACGCCTATGCCCCCCCACCCCCCGCCCCATCCGCCAGATGTCCCTGCGCTCACATTCCTTGCACTCTGCTCCTTTTCTTCTTTTAAAAGAAACCCCCTTCATTTTTCTTTGAAGGGAAAGGCACTACTCGATCACAATGCTGGTGGTTAGACGCGCAGACCAGCATGTCATCATGCTCAGGGTCACACCAGCCCAGTGCAGAGGACCACTGGTCAGCCAGTACTCAGGGGCGCACATAGTGGTAGGGATCGAACCCGGGGCCTGAAGCATAGAAGGTGTGCATTACGGGCCTTGGAGTTATCGCCCTGGGATGCCGCTTTGCAGTCAGGACAGCGCGTCCTTGAATAAAGGAGCTCTCTGTTTTGTCAGTATCATCCTGTTATAACGATGAGGAGGAAAAAAAAAATCAATCCTGGCTGACTTTGAAGAAAGCCACATCATACTTCATTCCAAGAATCGATGGACAACCATGAAGTCAAGAAGGAGGGGGGGCTTCCCTGTGTCATACTGCAAGAGTGGGGTCCTGACACAACCCCACTCAGTGCATGGGGGTCCAACAGCAGCAGCAATGAACCCCTAAAAGTGCCCTGTGACCAGATGGATTCCCAGGTGACTCCAAAACCTGAAGCTGTTCTAAGTAAACTATAACTTAAAAGGACCCACTAGTTGAGGCCAGAGATATTACACCAGGTAGGGAACTTGCCTTGCAAGCTTGCTTGGCACCTGTATGACCCCCTGAGCTCACCAGGAGTGATCCCTGAGTGCAGTGCCAGGAGTAACCCCTGAGCACTGGCAGATCTGACCCCCAAACAACAATCACTGTCACTGTCACTGTCCTCCCGTTGTTCATTGATTTGCTCGAGTGGGCCCAGTAACATCTCCATTGTGAGACTTGTTGTTACTGTTTTTGGCATATCGAATATGTCAGAGGGAGCTTGCCAGGCTTTGCCATGCGGGCGAGATACTCTCAGTAGCTTGCCGGGCTCTCTGAGAGGGGTGGAGGAATCAAAATTAGGTCAGCCGGGTCAGTCGCATGCAAGGCAAACGTGCTACCCACTGTGCTATTGCTCCAGCCCCCAAACAACAATAAAATTTTTAAATAATTAAAAGGATCCATTAAAAACAGCCTTGATGAGACAAGTGCCTTAGAGCTGCTGACACAAGAAGGAATAATAACTCATTTCCTGAGTGCCTACAATCTGTCAGGCATGGACACAGTCTTCATTCTTCACAGCGAGGTGGTGACTGGTATCCTGGCTGTGTGAACCAGGCCCCAGCAGAGCCCTTAGAAACAGGCCTGATATCACAGGAAGTGAAGCTGCCAGGTTCAGCTCTGCCTTGGGCCTGCACTGCCCACTTTCCAACCCCTCTGTCCCACCAGCTCTGGATCACGGAAGACAACTGGGGAGGGTTGGGAGGAGAGGCAGCAGAGGAAACAAAGCCAGAGATGCCCGCACAGGAAAACGAAACCCTCCCTGCACCCGCAAGTAGCCACGGGCCTGCCGGCTGTGACCTGCGGTCAGTGGCTTGTCAGCTGCCCGCTTACTCCTTTGTCGTCACCTCCTGCACGCCCTCCCTCACCACCTCTGGCCTGAGATGAAAACAGGAGTTGTTGGAGCAGCAGGAAATTTGGTCCCAGGGAACAATGAGGGCCCAGCCCAGGGAATGGTTTCAGCTGTCCATCTGCTGGGCCCAAGGCTCCTCCCCGAGGAGGGGGTTCTTGGACTGCCCCCCATCTGCCGAGGCTGTCACTCAGGAGGCTTCCAGTTTGTGGAGGCTAGACTAGGCGCAGGGGTAGGGGGAGGGTGCACCCAATTTTTCAATGGAGGTGGACATCAGGACAAAGGCAACAGCAGAAGGAGGGTCGCACTTCCCTCAGCCCCAGATGGGGGAAGATGCCACATTCGGTGGCAGGACACACAGTTCCCCTCCTCCCACCTCTTGGACCCTCAGGACACATCCCCACTCACCGTCTCTACCTCATTCAGCCTCTTCCCGGCAACCCCAGACCAGGTTCCCTGCCAGCCTGCCGTGGGAAGGAAGATTCCAGTGCCCCAAGCTGCACATAAGTCGATCAGCCTGTGTGAGAGAGAAGAGCAGAGAACCCAGGTCACGTGGGAGAAAGAGGCTGGGTTTCACCATCAGCACCCCAGGGGGAATGGCAGCTTCTTCCATTTGGGAAGTGTGGCTCAGCCGACAGTATCTTTGTCTGAAGGTCCAAGCACGTGGGGAGAACTTGGACAGACTCTGCCAGGGGCTTCAATACTGGGGCTGAATTAAGGTCCTCTCCCCTGGGGTTCTCAGCAGTCTCCAGCCCCAGATCTAATTGCTGACCGAGACTCTAATTCTTCACCTAAAGAAGTGAAGCCACCATTTGAAGAATCACTCCCATACCCAAGGGACAATGTACCTAACATCATCTCATTAATTTTCTTAAGTTACTTAGGAGAATTAGGGGCTGGAGCGATAGCTTAGAGGTAGGGCGTTTGCCTTGCACGTGGCCGGTCTGGCTGAGCCAGGTTCAATTCCTCCGCCCCTCTCGGAGAGTCCAGAAAGCTACTGAGAGTATCTTGCCCGCACAGCAAAGCCTGGCAAGCTCCCCGTGACGTATTCAATATGCCAAACACAGTAACAAGAAGTCTCACAATGGAGACGTTACTGAGCCCGCTCGAGCAAATCGATGAACAACGAGATGACAGTGCAGTGCTACTTGGGAGAATGATTATACTTTTCTTTTTTTCATCTATTAAAAAAATCAAACCAAGTTCAACATAAGTAAATCTATAGTATACACCATCGATAGGAGATTTGATTTTAGAGTCAGGGTCTTGACATTTTTTTCCAGTTCTGGCCTGTTATTCATTCTGAGGGGCCCATGCAGTCCCCCTCTCCCCCCATGCCTCAGGTTCTTCCTTTGTGAAATGAGGAGAAGGGATAGTAAGTGGGTCCGACCACTGGGCCCTAAGCATGCTACAAATCCAAGTTTCAAGTTCATGCTACTGGGAGATCCTTCAACCTTTTGCAGAAAAAAGGGACGGAGCTCACTGAGTCATTTGCTTCAACAACGTGCCTGCAGGAAATGGGAAAATCCACCCTTGCATAAGAGAATGTGGCAGTTATCAACTCGAGTAAGTATGCACTGAGCTTCAACCCTATTCTAGGACTCTAACGGAAAGAGATTTGATATTCTAGAAGCCGCGGTTACTATCTTCACAATTCCTGTGAAGTGAAAAAGTTGTGCTGGGAAAAGTGTTATTATTTGTGTATTAAAGGAGTGGCGTCGATACAAATCTGCTTATATATTTAAAAATAAAAGGACAGGGGCTGGAGCGATACCACAGAGGGTAGGGCATTTGCCTTGCACACGGTTGACCTGGGTTCGATTCCCAGCATCCCATATGGTCCCCTGAGCACGGTCAGGGGTGGTTCCTGGGTGCATCGCCGGGTGTGACCCAAAAAGCAAAATATAAAATAAAATAAAAGGATAAAGTACAAAAGTTAAGAAAATGCCAGGATAAATTTTAAGAGGACTAAAAAGGAGAAGATATAAAAAGGACAGGAAAGAAGCTACACATTATTATGGGCGTGGTTCTGTGATCGAACCCAGGATCTCAGGTGCAATTACTCTCTACCATTTAGCTCCATCCCTGGCCCAAGAAGCTACAATTCTGATTTGGTGGATTTTCTTCAGAACACATAAATATCTGAAAAAATACATAGTTATAATGATGAAACATGTTGGGTTGTTGGGGCCACACCCGGAAATGCTCAGGGGTTACTCCTGACTCTGCACTCAGGAATCAATCCTAGCAGTGCTCGAAGGAACATACGGGATGCCGGGGATCAAACCCGGGTTGAGCTTGTACAAGACAAGCACCTGATTGACTGTCCTATTGCTCTGGCCCTGGGACTTTTTTTTTTGAGGTCGCTCTACACCTGGCAGTGCTCAGGGCCTACTCCTGGCTCTATCCTTAGGAATCACTCCTGGTGGTGCTTGGGGATAGAACTGCTGCCAGAGGTAGAACTGGAGTGAGCAACATGCAAGGCAAGCAACTTAAACCATGTACTATGTCTCCGGTGACAAATTTGGGCATTTTAAAAAGAAATCTGTAAAATGAAAAAAAAAAAGTGCAATTGTGAGCGTACATGTACAGCTGGCCGGCACTACAGGTAGAGAAATCTGTGTTTCCTTGAATAGAATGAGCTGCCTTTCCTCTCCAGCCCACCCCAAATCCTAAACTATTTTCAATAAATACATTAACAGTGCTATTTTAATTCTTTTATTGGTTAGTGGGCCACACCTGAAAGTTTGGGGAACTACTCCCAATACATTGCTCAGGGATCACTCCCAGTGGTGCCAGGAGAACCACACTGTGGTGGGCACTGGACCGGGCCTGCTGCCTAACAGCATAGGCAGCTGCCTGCTAGGTACCCTCCCCCCACCTTTGTTTTCTTGTTCTAACAGAACCACCTCCTAGAGTGCTGGGGGAACCCCGGCCATCAGGCATCCCACCCAGGGCTCACACGTGCCAGGCACCTGAGTGAGTTCTCCAGTCTCCTGCCCCTGCACCTGGCTGTCCTCGCTGGGGCCCCTTGGAAGGGAGCGGGTTGAGTTTCCCTCCCCGCCCCGACCAGGGCTCCGGTAGCCGAAGACCTCCAGAACCAGCCACCACCATGCTGAGACCACTCTCCGCACACATGCAGGTAACGGCAGAGGAACAAAGGCATGCGGGTCCCAGGACTGAGATCTCCAAGCCTACTCGGATCGGGGCTGAGCATCCTCCACCCAGATCCTCCAAATTCCAGTAGGCGGGGGTCACACCAACCAACTGGCCCCCTGGTGCCATGTAATCCCATCAACGGCCAAGACTCAGAGACTATAAAACCCAGCTCCCAGAAGTGCGCGGCCGCATTCGCAGCATGGCGACATCTTATGATCTCATTACTACTTTGGACAAACTGGCAGGCTACCGAATGTAACCTGCCCACATGGCAGAGTCTGGCAAACTCCCCATGGCGTACCCAATATGCCAAATACCAGTAACAATGATGCTATCACTCCAGCCCCATGGACATATTGTTTTCTTATTTTGTTCTGTTTATGGAGCACACTCAGTGATGCTGAGTTACTCCTGGCTCTGTGGTCAGAAACTACTCCTGGCAGTGCTCAGGGGACCATACGGGATACGTGGGATTGAACCTGGGTTGGTCACGTGCAAGGCAAATGCCCTACCTGCTAAACTATAGTTCAGCCCCAGGACATCATTTTTCTTATACACAGACCACACCCCCATGGTGTTGGCAAAACTGGGGGTGAGGAAATCACGCCTGGTTATGCCTAGCATGGTGGGTGGTACTTGGGAGGATCATGAGGTGCTCAGGTGGGCCATGCAGTGCCAGGGTTGAAGCCAGGACCTCTCATGTGCTCTACCGCTCAGTTATCTCCCTGGCCCCAATATTCATGACTGCAAAAATGGTGGGTGGTGCAAAAGGAATGGAAAGGAGCAGAACTGAGACCCACTGGCCTCAGTACCATCACTGCTTTGTTCGTTTCTGGTCACACCCAGAGATGCTCAGGGGTTTCTGTCAGCGCTCAGAGAATCGAACCCGGAGCAAATACATGCCAAGGATGCTCAGCAGCCCTCTAAGCCACTCCCCTGTACTTTAGCCATCATCCTTCTATTGCTGAAGTGACTAATGGGCACATCAGGTTCATGATATTATTCCCTTTTACATAAGACATTTTTTAAAATAAAAAGAAAATGCAAATGGTTAGAATAGGAAACAAAAAAAAATCACTAGCGTCGTAATTCCTAGACGTTTTTATTCTCCTTGAAATTCTTTTATGCCATTTAATCCAAACTGCAGTTCAGTGTGCTAATAAAGGAAGTTCTTTTTACCCCCATTTTACTTGGGAGGAAATAGGTGTAACGTTTATAAATCCATTGAGTATAAATTGGTATACTCAATGTATTACAAAGATTCAAAACCACACGTTCTTATCCGAAAGACTCATTTCCTTAAGTTGCTTTAACTACCCTCTTTTGGATGTGTGTGTTAATAAAATGTTCTCTGCTCTCCCCGAGGTCTCTGGTGTCTGCCAAGAGACAGTATCTGGGAAGGAACTTGGAGACAAATTCTTGTGTTTCACCATCACTGGGGACCACGTCTGCCATGAGGGGTCTCTGGGAGAGCAGGTGAGAAACCAAGTGAGAGAGGTGGACAGTGAATCTGGAAGACGCGCACGGTCATGGTGCTTCTAGCAGACCCACAGACAAATGTGCCCGCCGCCCAGCTGCAGATGGGCCACATGCCCGGGGACAGGCGGCTTCCAGGAAGAACAGGAGAGGCTCTGGGGAAGGACGGGGGCAGGAAACCTGAGAGACCCAGGCTGCAAGAAGGGAGACGGAGGTGCGGCGGGGACAGACCTTGCTGCTGGGTACCCGGGCACTGCCAGCCAAGAAGTCTGGACAGGGGCACCTGCTGGGCTCCTCTGACTGAGTGGGAGGGAGAGTGTGGTGGGCAGTCGGCAGGGCCCCAAACACGTCAGACTGATGGCAGGAGGACGTGCCTGGTGTTGCTCACACTTTCCAAGTGCTCTCTGGTGGTGATCACAGCATCTGCTGGGCAACGTCAACGGCCTCCACCTGCTCTCCCTCCCTTCCTCCCACCCGCCTCCCTTCTCCTTCTCTTATTTTTCCTTCCTTCCTTCCTTCCTTCCTTCCTTCCTTCCTTCTTTCCTTCCTTCCTTCTTTCCTTCCTCCCTCCCTCCCTTCCTCTCTTCCCCTTCCTTCCTTCCTTCCTTCCTTCCTTCCTTCCTCCCTTCCTCCCTTCCTCTCTTCCCCTTCCTTCTTATTCCTTTCTTCCTTCTTTCTTTCCCTTCCTTCTTCTCTCCCCTCCTCTTCCCTTCCTTCTTCTTCCTTTCATTTTCCCCTTACCTTCTTCCTTGTTTCCTTCCTCCCTCCTCCCTTCTTTTCTTCCCACCCCCTCCCTCCCTTCCTTCCTTTCAATCCCCCTCCGTCCCTCTTTCCCTTCCCTCCTTCATTCCTTGCTCTCCTTCCTTCCTTCCTTCCTTCCTT